ATCATTTATTTGTTATTATTATCTGGATCCAGCCACAGACTCCAGGTCTCCAGTCTGGTTTTACGGGCTTTTGGGGTTCAGTGTTTACTGACGGATGAATTGCTCCATTTTTGGATTTTTTCTGGATCTCAGAGGCTCTTTTGACGCTTTTGTGCAGCAACACATGGACACTTTCTGTCCAGGTTTGAATTTAAAACCACATTTAGCAGCATAAATACACACAAAAATGCTCCAGTTTCATCCAAACTCGCTGCAAAACGATTTGTGCACGTTTAATTTTTATTTTTCAACTTTTCAATGTGTGTAATTTTTTTACTTTATTTTTTTTCTTCTCCTGTTTTTTTTATTTTTCCATTTAAAATCAGTGCCTTTCTTTGCATATTTCCACTTTCAATGGGGATTTAACAGCTGGTTCCTTGAGCTGATAATGATTCCGGTAAATTCTCTGTGAAGTAAAAATGTGCTTTGTCCTGCTGAGAGCTGCTCCCATAAAAATAATAAAACTGAATTCCACCAAATGCCTCATCTGTGAGTTCACTAACCAACGCGAATTCTCGCGTTTGTTCGTTCACAGTTTTGGAACCTGAATTCTCTGTAACTGAGTCGATACGCGTCCAGTTGTTTCAGCTCTCTGCAGGAATCCTCCCGATTTGTCCGCAAACCTGAGCAGCAACCTGTCGGCTGGAGGCCGTCCGCTCGCGACCCGGCGCGCACGCGCCTGACTCCGGCTCCGATTCCAGGACTGTGCGCGACGCTTCAGCTGCCTCGGCCGCTTTAACCAGCTAATAAATATGAAAACAGCAGGTTAAAACTTGAGCCTGAAAGGATTATAGACCTCTATAGAGTCCCCTGAAAAGCCCCCCAGACCTCATAAAGCCCGATGTGGGGCCATAAAACAGCGCCGAACAAAGCGGAAGAAAGGGCGCTTTTTCACGCATAAGGGGTTTTCTCAGGGGCGCATTGAGGCCTCGCGCCGCCCCCCCCCCCCCCCCCCCCCGCTCCGCCCCGCCCCGCCCGCAGATTATCCGCCCGGCTGGGAGCGGCAGGTGCGTGCGCCGGGCGTGGGGGCCGGTGGCCGGCCAGTGGGGGGGTGTGGGTGGGGGGGGGGTTTGGGGGGGGGGGGCGGAACTGCGCAGCTGCCAGCAGGAATGTTTCTGTTGTCACTTCCATTTGACTTGCTCTTTTTCTCCACTGCTTGGACGGATGCCGGCCGCCGGCCCTCCGGCCCCCAGCCCCGCCCCCCCCCCCCTGGCCGTGGAGAGGGGGCTAAACGGTGACAACCCTCCCCACAAAGGTGACAAGCGGCGCGGGCGTCTCAGACCCAGCGCCGTGAAATCGGGATTAAACTGATAAGCGAGAAGAATGATGCAGATCCCACTCCTCTCTGTTGGGTTAACTCAGTGTTTAACCCCCAGAGGCGGCTTTCATGCAGGTTATTGGATTTCGGAGGCTTCACATATGGTGGCCTGTAAATAAAGCTGGAGCTCTTTAATAATGCAGCTCATGAATTCATCCAGCGAAATGACAGAAAGGAGGCAGATTCGGGGCTAATCTTCTGTCAGAAGCCCCTGGATCTCCCTTATCTCCCCCGTCGTTCCAGATAGAGTCTGTCATAGAGTCCAGGTCCTGCTGACCCGCTCCGCCTGGAAGTGGCCTCCCCGCTCCGAGCCCCGGCCTCTAATCTCAGCCTCTCAAACTGTGGCCCCGGGCTCCTCGTGGCTCCTCCACATAATCCCCTGGAAGTGTGCGGCGCTGCTGATTCCTCTGAAGCTCCACACAAAGCTTTTCCCAGCGTCCTCCAGCTCCCGGGGATTAATGCCCCCCGTTCGGAGGAGGCAGGAGGAACCCAGCCGCCACTCTGAGGCCGCCCGGAGTCCAGAACCCGTCTGAGACCCGGACCAGGAAGCCGGATCCAGTCAGTGGATCCAGGAAACAGCAGCCTGCTCTGCGTTTGGTAGATAAACAACACCAGTAAAAGACATTTAGTCTGCAGTAATTAGAGGAGGCTGGAGGCTGGAGGCAGACGGAGTTCTGAAAATGAGGAAACGGCTTCAGGAGAAGGAGCGCTGCTGGGAGCTGAGGCCGCCTCACTTCATTTAGTCCCCGTCTGGGCGTCTGCTGCAGGGAGCCGACCGGCAGAAGCCGCTTTGGTCCCAACCGTTAAGAGTTTAGGACGGAAAAACTCTGATTAGGAACCTTTTTCTATTTTTGCAGCCAAAAAACACCCAAAAATCACCCCCTTCACGGAAACCTTTTCAGTCTGAGTTAAACTTAGTGAGGCAGAAATTTTAATTTCCTCTTTTATTTCCCCTCCTGACAATTATTATTATTATTATTTATTTATGTTTTCACACATTAGCAAAAAAAAAATTTGGATCTGAACTGTTTAATTAGTTTCAGCATAAACAGAAACACTCTCACAGGTGGAGCAGCATCTGTGACGGAGGCTGCTCTGAGGCCTCGGCCCGGCTCTAAGCCTCCAGGGGGAGCAGCCAGGAGTGAGGAAGAGGAGCAGCCATGAATGAGGAAGAGGAGCAGGGGAACAGCAAAGAATGAGGAAGAGCAGCAGCGTGGTGGCGTCTTTCCGAGGGAACCAGGAGGGAAAAGCAGCTTCCACCAGTGAAGAGGAGAAGTCCTCTGCTGCTTCAGAGCAGATCTCCTCCTGCTCCTCCTCCTCCTGTTCTTCCTCTTCCTCCTCCTCTTCCTCCACCTCATCTGCCTGTTCTTCCTCTTTCTCCTCCTCCTCCTCCTCCTCCAGTGGTGTGATAAACGGGTAGATAATCATCTTTTCATTAAACTTTCAGCCCATTGACTTAAATATTCAACACCCCAATTACAAAGAGAGGGATGATAGATGAATGGATGGATGGATGTATGGATGGATGGATGATGTATAGATGGATGGATGATGGATGGATGGATGGATGGATGGATGATGTTTAGAAGGATGGATGATGGATGGATGATAGATGGATGATGTATAGATGGATGGATGGATGGATGGATGGATGGATGGATGGATGGATGGAAGACAAATGGATGGATGATGGACGAATGGATAATGGATGGATGATAGATGGATGGATGAAAGATGGATGGATGGATGGATGATGTATAGATGGATGGATGACAAATGGATGGATGATGGACGAATGGATAATGGATGGATGGATGAAAGATGGATGGATGGATGGATTGATGACAAATGGATGGATGATAGACGGATGGATGGATGACGGATGGAAGGATGATTGACGGATGGATAATGGATCGATGGATGGTTGATCTATAGATGGATGGATGGATGGATGGATGGATGATGTATAGATGGATGGATGGATGGAACAATGGATGGATGATGGATGGATGGATGGATGGATGGATGGATTATCTATAGATGGATGGATAAATGATGGATGTATGAATGATGGATGGATGGATGATGGATGACAGATGGATGGATGGATGACAAATGGATGGATGATGGACGGATGGAATATGGATGGACGGATGGATAAAATAAGGAAGGATGATGAATGAATGATGGTTGGATAGAGAGCAGAGCATAGATGTGTCTTCTGAGTGCCACAAACGGGGTGCATGCGTGTCAGAGTGCGCGCAGGCGTGCACGCGCGCGTGTCAGTGTATTAGCAGTCACAGCACTGAGGCCCAGCGGCGATTCCTGTGTGAGCTAGCGATAAAGGGGGAACGGGAGGAAGTATAACGGGGGAGGGGGGGGGAGAAAAAGAGCAGAGGAACTTCCTCTGGATCACGTCCCCACTGGTCTTCATCCCTCACACATTACTCTTCCTCACCCCCCCACCCTCACCCCCACCCCCCCATGAAAGAGTCTTGGCAGGGTAATTAAGAATGGCCTCTAAACACAGGAGCAGGCAGGAACGCTCCAGATGAAAGTAAATGATTAAAATAATTACAGGCTGAGTGCTGACGAGCCGCCGTGTGGGCTGGCCGCCGGACATTTGGCGGTAATTAGATAATTAATCTGAATGCAAATGATGAGCCCTAACGAAGCAGCCAGGCTGAACCAGCGACAACCGCCGACAGTGAAACGCGGGGAGGGGGGGGAGTGGTGGTGGGGGGGGTGCGCGAGTTTGGGGGAGAAACACATGAATATGAGAGAGAAAAGCTCCAGAACCAGCGGCGGGAACAGACGGCTCCAAACACTCCGCCCCGTTTGCGGTTTTTCCGCAGACGCACCGAGGCTCGTTAGAGGCACGCGGCTCCTCGGGAGGCGCGCGCGCCCCGAAACGCGTAAACAAACTGTGGGTTTACTCATTATTCCGCCGCCCCGCTCCGCCTCACGCGCCCCGCAAACGGAGGTAAACAGCTCGCTTTTCAAACAGGTGCAGCTTCACCTGTCAGCTCCCGGGCTGTTACACACAGTTACAGCAACCGAGGACACAAAGAGACACACAAAACAATAACCACAGACACACAAACCAACAACCACAGACACACAAACCAACGATCACAGACACACAACATAACCACAAAGAGACCCAAAACAACAACAAAGAGACACAGAGAGAGACACCACACAACCACAGAGACACAAAACAAAAAGAGACACAAAACACACACATACACAAAACAACCACAGAGACACTAAACAGCCACAAAGAGACACAAAACAAGTACAGGCACAAAACAATTGCAAAGAGACAAAAAATGGACATAAACAAAACAGCCACTACGAGACACAAAACAATCACAAAGAGACAAAAAACAACTATACACACAAAACGACCACTAAGACACAAAAGAGACACAAAGACACAAAACAATGAGTCACAAAACATCTACAAAGAGACACAAAACAGCCACACACAGACACAAAACACGCACATACACAAAACAACGACAAAGTTACACAAAACAACAACAAAGAGACACAAAACAACAAAGCGACACAAAACAACCACAAATAGACACTAAACAACGACAGAGACACAAACCCCCCTCAGAGGAACTATTTACTCCTGTTCTCCGGCCTGAGACTGGACTCACACCTCTCTGATGTGCGTTTGGACCACTTCAGACCCAGCAGACCTGTGGGACTTCCTGCTTTCTGGTGAACAAACTTCTCACTGTAATCGGAGGCCTGAGAGCAGCTCATCTGTTTAGTGTCGATCACACAACCGCACCCAGCTGGCGGCGCCCGAGCCCCTGGTCACCCGAACACCAGGCCAAAGGCACATTCAGCCACAGAAAGGACAAAAGACCCACTGGAGGAACATCTGAGCTAATCTGTTTTATTCAAGAGGCAGAAACATAAATGGAGACTAACATGAGAGGAAAACATCCAAAAAAACCATGATGCTCATTCTCTGTTGAACCTGAGCTCCACATAATAATAAGCCCACATGTGATTACAGTTTGTCCTCATTGTGGCAGCTGGGAGTAAATAAAGTCATCTCAGTCCGGCCAAACGAAAGTAATCTCAGTCCGGCCAAAAGGGGCTCCTGAAGACCAGCTGTCCCCAAAAAGCCCCAGACTTTGTTTACAGGCCTCAGCTGATCCGGATGACAGCCTCACGTGAACAAATCGCCACTAAAGCTGGAAAAACACAAGTTTTGTCCTTCAAAGTCAGACATTTATGAGGGTGTTTTCTGGAAGCAAAGTCGTTTTCTACTGATATAAAAACCAGGGAGCGGAAACGAAGCCGTCCGGCTGTCGCTACTCCACCACCAGCTCGAAGCCCTCCGCCTCCTCGAACTCGGCGTTCATCTGGGCCGCCAGCGCCTCCAGCTCCGTGGAGCCGATCTGCTGCACCTTCCGCCGCCGCCGCCGCTCCTTGGCCACGACCACTCCGGGGATGTTGTGGTCCGGCTCCGGGAGGACGGAGCTGACCTCGTCCGCGTCGAGCTGGGACATGAAAGAGTTCAGACCGGAGAGGGAACCGGACCCCTCCAGGGCGGTTCTGGACAGCTCGACCCTCCGGACCACCTCCGGCGTCTGGAGCTTCTCGAAGCCGAATAAGTTGTGTCGGGAGTCGGGGCTGTGGATGGACTTGTCGCTGAGCCGGCTGTAGGACCGGCGGACCTTCTGCGACCACACCGCCACGTCTGGATCTGTGGGCGGCTGCTGGGGACTGGGGGAGGCCGGCGGGGAGGAGGGCAGGATCGGTGAAGGCATAGCGGGCTGCCGGTGCTTCTTCTTGCCGGAGGAAGTGGAGGCCTTGCAGTTCGGGACCGGATCAGGCGTGGAGATCTTGGGTTTTTTCTGTTGGATGACTCCGGACCGCCTTGGTGTGTTCTCCTTGTTTTGCTCCGACGGCGCGACTGTTTTTCTGGGCGCTATCTTCCTCACGGTTATGGAGCGTTTCACGGTCGCCGACGGCGCCATTTTGTTGTCACTTTTCCGCGGAGAACTGAACCGCGGAGACCGTCTCCTGTGCGGGTCGAGAGGCTGGTTCGCCTCGGTCATCACGCTGCGAAGCGTCCTTCCACTCATGCTGAGCTCAGCGCGGTAAAAAACAAAACAAAACACGTATTTACCGTACAGGAGAGTCACAACAAACCCCACACTGTCAAACACCAACAGCGCAGCGTTCAAAATTCCCCGCCCGAGTCGCGTGCTGATGACCCAACAGTGATTTGGCTGTGACGTACACGTGAAGCGCCAGCTAGCTCAAACTTTTGCTGTGTAATCTGAACAAGTGAGGCTCAGGCACGAGTGAGGTTTCACCCTATTTAATTAATATTTCACATTTGGACTGCTGAACACGATGGAGTATCTCATTGGGATTCAAGGACCTGATTTCGTCCTAGTCGCTGCTGATAATGTGGCTGCTAGCAGCATTATTCAGATGAAACATGGTACGTTAGCTTGTTAGCTTAGCGATAGCTGCTCTGCCGGTAGCTTTCATTGCTGTATTCAGGGTTCACATTTAGCTAAATGTAAAACTGTTTAATTGTTTTTGAAAATAGCGAGCTAATGATTTCCTTTACAGAACAGCGTAAGATTTACAACATTGTGCCTTTGTGTCAATATAAAGGTTTATAAAGTATATAGTCAACTGTTAGTTATGCTAATATCAGCTAACACGAGCTAAATATGTCATTTAGCTGCAGCATAATTTGATAAAGTAACGGACTCTCTGTGTTTTTCACTCTAACTTCATCCGTTGTCCAACACGAAAGTGTGATCTAAGACAATTACGCCTCATGCTCTTTTGTTTTCGTGCTGTAAGACGGTTAGCGTGAGCAGGTAGCCTGGCGGCGAAAGTGAAAGTCAGGACTAGTTGAAGGAGTCTGCTTCTGTATGTTAGGGAAACGTTTACTGGATTTCTCCTTAGTCACAGCACTGGCTTTAATGTGCGAATATGCACTCTATTTAATGTTTGGAAAGTGCCTGCAAAATCAGGCAGATTTCACAATTTTTCTTCACAGGAATCAACATTATTATGTCATCCCAGTAATACCTTATTGAGTTCGACACAAATTTAGAATTGTCACATTCCCATGTGATAAGAAATGTAATTAATATTGATGCAGAATTCATCTTAAGCTTCTTAAAACTGATTAATAATACTACATTTGACTAAATATGAATTGGAAATTGAAGGAGGCTCCTTTTTCTTTCTTTCTTTTCTTTTATTCATTCAGTTCCTCAGATATAAAACAATTTAAACTGAAGAACAACATTGTACCTCATTCTTTTTAACTGTAAAATAAGTTAAGCATTTGTATGATATTTTTGTTAAATGTATAAAAGAAACCTATCCAGGATTTTAAAACTGTCTCCTATTCCCTGCTGAAGCTTTCTTTATTCAGTTTAGCTGGTGTCTTTGTAGTGGACTGTGTTTTTTCTTGGTTTGTTTGCTCCTCAAATGTTTTTAACTGAAAGCACAGCATTGATGATTTTGGCTCCCAGACTATGACAAGATGTTCAAGCTGAGCGAGAAGATCCTGCTGCTCTGTGTGGGAGAGGCCGGAGACACTGTGCAGTTTGCAGAGTACATCCAGAAGAACGTCCAGCTCTACAAAATGAGGAACGGTAAGACGCAGCTCAGAGATCTACGGGGTGGGAGGGGGGAGCCCAGAGTCTGACGTCATTTCTTCTCCTGATTTTTAAGGATATGAACTGAGTCCGGCGGCGGCAGCAAACTTCACACGGAAGAACCTGGCAGACTACCTACGGAGCAGGGTAACCGCCTCAGGATGGAAGTCCTGCTTTCAGTAGCTGCTCCATGTAGTAAACAGACGGTTTAGACTGTGAAGCAAAGGCAGCCATGGTTGGTAATGACACACCAGAGCGGCCGCGTTCAGCTGGGTTTCCTCCAAATGAGGAGCAAACCTGGAAATTAAAGCCGAGGAAGAGCAGCCGAGCAGACTTTGAGTGTCTGAATTTAAATAGATGCTGATAACAGAATCGGGGGCTCAGCCGGCTGTTCTGGGATCTGCTTAGTGCTTCTTACTCACCTCTATCTTGGTCACTTCACAGTTAAGCCTGTTCTTCCAGAGTAATGAGCGAACAGCCTTATAAATATTGTAATTTCTGGTTTGAATTAATTACATCCCACAGCCAGGACCTGCAATCTCATTTCGCTTAAGGGAACAAATGATAAAATCACCAACTAATTTCAGAGGGTTTAAGTAAGAAGAACCACATGTGGAGGGTTGTAGAAGCAATTTAATTAGCAGAGGTTCAGTTTCTGCTCAAGACTCGTTTTAGCTGCAAGTGAAAATAAAAACACTAATGGAGGCCCTCAGTCAAGGAGGGGGGGGGGGTTCCTGAAGGCTCTTTTTCCCGTTCTGCTTTAAAAAACAGAACCTGAGAGCAGAGAGCTCTGCTGGAAGCATCCAGAACTCCAGGTTCTGATCTGGATCCAGAATTCTGCGTCAGCTTTCTGGATCAGCTTGTGGCTCTGATAGAGTTTCTGGGTCAGAACAGAAACCCAGAACCAGCAGAACCAGTGATGGAGCAGCTTTCTGCTCCTCTGAGGTTGGACGCTCAAAATGGAGGATAACCACATGTGAAGCTCTGCTTCTGTCTGGCTAAATCCTGGTTCAGACGTGGGCTGCTGGGAGTCTTTGGTGTGATTAAGTCGTCTGTCGGTGTGCGTCATGTATCTGCTGCTCTAATTTGTTAAGAGCAGTGCAGCCGCAGCCTGTCACAACAGCACAGGCTGAAAATAATTACAAAAAACAATTAGTGTGTGTGAGGAGGGAATGTGGGACACATGGAAGGGGCAGAGGAGGAGGAGGAGGTCCCAGGGGGCCGGGCCCCCGGGGGGCTGAGCCCCTGGGGGCCCGGGCTGACTGGCTGTGTGGGAAGCAGTCGCAGGGCCTGTAGGATCAGGAGGCTGGGAGCACATCATTGATATTCATGCTCCTCGTTTCTGTGCCTGTCGGTGATGCATGTGGAGAGCGGCGCTGCGTCTCAGGAGCTCTGGGAAAGCGAGGCAGGAGCAGTTTGTGCTGCTTCCCACTCCGTCCTGCAGCTACGCTGCTCTCAGGCAGCCGGCTGGAAACAGATCTGAGCCCCACAACCAGTGGAGACTATCTGAGCCTCAGACCAGACCTGACTCACACCATGTTTAGCATTTATAATGCCTGATCAGGTCTTTTTTTTTTGGCTGAAATCAGCATGTTGGCAGGCCAGCTAACAGCCGCCATCCATTTCCCTCCTGCTCCCTCGTTTCTGGGATACGTCTTGAATGATTCCCCAGATTTATCACAAAGGTGAAACATCTCAGGCTCAGTTGTCCATGATGTTGAATTGGTGCTGATAAAATCACTTTGAGACCCGAGTTTGGTTTATGTTAGCTCCTGGAGTGGCTGCAGATGGATTTTATGTAGTTTTTTTTTCAGTCTTTAGAAGCAGAAATGTGTTGTCATCCAGCTCAAAGTGGCTGTTTTTCTAAAGCAGGGAGTCTAAAAGGATCCACAGCTCTGAGTTCCAGCTTTTAGTCGACTGGTTTCAGCACATCAGCTTAAAGTTTCCTTCATTTCTGGATGCTGGAACAGAGCTGATTTACAGGAAATGAAGCCTCATTCTGGAGGAAAACCAGCAAAACTCAGCTTTATGGACTCTAGTTTGGACCAGAGGTTCAGACAGGTTCATGTCAGAGTTAAAGAGCCCCGTGCCCCCCGTCCACTGCCCAGGCTGCTTGTTGTCAGGGTGACCCGGGGCTGCTGCCCTCCGGGGGCCGCTGCCCTCTGGGGGCTGTAGTCAGGTGAAGGATGCTGCTCACATACCAGCCGCATTCACAACAACAACCGTCCCTCTGGAGGGCTGCAGACGGTGGAGCGGCAGAGCCAGCAGCCACCAGCTGAGCCTCCGGGCTGCTGCCTGGGCTCCCTGATGGAGCCAAACAGGCAGAGGTGGAGGGACGCTCGCCCCGCTAATGTTTGTTCAAAGCCCCCGAGGTCAGGCCCCCACTGCCCGAGGCCACAGGGGACGAATGTGGCTGTGTGGATCCACATTTGTTAGGACTGCATGGGGACCCTAACCTGGGACCCTGTCCCTAACCTGGGACCCTAACCTGGGAACCTGTCCTTATCCTGGGACCCTGTCCCTAACCTGGAACTCTGTCCCTAACCTGGAACTCTGTCCCTAACCTGGTACTCTGTCCCTAACCTGGTACTCTTACCCTAACCTGGGACCCTGACCAGGTACCCTGTCCCAACCTAAGACCCTGGTGTGGGACAGGGTACTGTGGGGGTCTCAGAAAAAGGGGTACTAAGCTGGAAACATACTGGGTTTGCCCCCTGTGACTAGGCCTGATGGTTCTGGTCTGGTTCAGCCGTCTGGGATCTCTGGGATGCTGAGAGTTAGTCTCCCATCAGCCTCATTTCCACACACTGTTGTGTTGGCTGTCAGCCTCCAAACAGCCCTGTGCTGCCTGATCCCAACCAGAGAGGGGGGGGCTCTGCCAGGAGCAGAGGCTTTGTTTGGCTGGCTGTGAGTGGGACTCCCTGTGGGGGGGTTAACATATGCGTGGTGTTGGGGGGGGGGGGGGGGGTGTGAGTACAGGTGGCAGCTTAACAAGGTGCTGGTTTTCCTCGGAGGCGACTCGGGAGGCAAAGGTTATTTTGATGCCAGGGCCGTGTAGTTGTCAGTGTAACCAGTGGGGGGGGGGGGG